AACCCACTTTTAGTTCCTCTACTTTAAAAAAAAAAATCTATGTTTAGTCTCTCTATTTTAGGATTTCTGGCAAAATAATGTGCTATGCAAGAAAAAATAAAAACGAAGAGATTAAAAAGCAATTGGATTTTAAATTTTAGGGATGGAAAAAAAAGGGGGCTTTCTTAAGTAAATGAACTAAAAAGAAGCTTTTTGTTAAAGTAAAGGGACCAAAGAGATTTTGACCTTAATTTTACTAGGATTTATCACATTGCACTTGCTTGGAAACTTGAGTTTATCTCCCATAAGAAAAACTAGGATTTATGAAAGTCCAACAAAATGATTTGATCATGTTTATTTATAACAAATTCTCATAATATGAAGTGAGACTAGTTTTATTAGCTTTCTACTTAATTATACATGTGAATTGGTGTATATATATGTTTATTGAGTAAGGATTCATTTATATACAAATTTTACACATCATACTTACATAAAATCTTAAATGTTTTCATTTTCAATGGTTAAGATTTATTAATGTTTATTAAAGATTATTTTTTTTTATCTACAATGTTGTGATAAATCTTAACCATTAAGAGTAAAGAGATGAATTGTCAAAACTTTCTGTAAGTGTGATATGTAAGATTTATGTGTAAATGGATCTCCATTCTACTTATTCAATATCATGTATATATCTATTGTGAGAATTTAATATTGTCAACATATATGTCAAAGAGTCAACATAAAAAATTGAAAACCCTAGATTTGATTTAGAAATGAGAATTAAAGCTTTGTAATTCAAGGAATAATTAACTAGGATTTATTTTTACGAAAATTGAATTAACTTGTATCCATAAATAAAGCTTTAACTATTAGGTTAACTACTTACCTTGAATGATCTTTCTTGACTCTTAGAGAACGAAAGGATATATATCCGTCTTGTACTATGGAGATTAAACATATATTTGAATTTCATAAAATAATTAATCTAGGTTCAAGCATGGTTTGCTTGTCAAATAAAACATTGATGTTTGTTTTTGTGGTACGTGGAAATCTGATGATTGTTGTTACTTTCGGTTATCTAACTAAATAGTTGATAATATGACATGCGTCCTCATGATTAACGCATTAAAGTAAGGTTTAATCTTTTGTTAATTAATCATCTCACTGGATTCGGGCGGTGATTATACATTAACATAAAGTTATGTTCTTAGGGTTTTGTACTTTGCCTTAGCTAGCTATTCCTAATTAATGGGTCTCTCAAATTGCAATCTTCTCCAATTTACTTGAACATTTGATGAGTTAGAAAAAGATATATATTAATAATAGGTGGGTGCATACCCCCCTAGCACCTCACGCTCGAATAAAGAATTTTCATGAGAGAGGTACGGGAGCATGTGCTTGAAACCTTGAATTCCATGAAGCTCCCTCCTTTTCATGAAAAGCTTGGTAGCTATGAGCTTGGCGTTTCTAAGGTTCTCCAATATCCATTAGTAATATAGTATATATTAATATTGAAATCATGACCATTTTGCTTTGAAATGAGTATTATATATAGCTAGCATCAATGTATCATCATTCATATTCCAAATTCGCTCCAAAGGCAACACAACAAAGGGATATGAGAGAGAAATTGAGGTAATGAAAATAACTATAGTAGTCATATCCCCGTGCACAATATCGATGGGATATGTATACTTTTTTTTTCTTATCCCAAGCAGCCCTCTCCCATGCTCTATAGACAGCTTGAGGAGAGATGGATATTCTTTTTCTTTATTATTTTTAATATATTTTTATTTTCTTTTCTCTTCTTTCGTAGCAACATCATCTGGGTCGAATTTGATTTGCCGCCTATTTTGAGTATGCGTGTAAAGGTCGGCGCACCACACTTGCTAGGAAGCTTGGCTAGCTCATTATTAAGATAAAGAGTAAAATATTAAAAGGGATAATCATTAATATATATTTTAGTTTAATATTATGTACAATATATTTATTTAAAAATTATTATTTTTTAATATGAAATTAAAAGTAGTTAAATTTAAAAATGCCACCATGCATTCAAGATGTGTGTAAGAATTGATTAAATTAATTGTACTTATATTATATTTTAAAAACTAAACTTAAATAAGTGTAAAAAAAATACATTGAATTGAATGTATATCAATCATTTTCTTATTAAAAATGGCATGATTTGGTGTATTACTATCTATATTGTAGAATACATGTAATCAAGTATATAAAATAAAACAAAGGTAGCAAAAGCTAGGTTTGATCCAATATATAGTATAATTAGTTATGGTGTCACGCGTAAATAAAAGTTTTGGAGAAAAAGGCGAAATCATTGGAATAATCACAAACTGACTGCCTTCTTCCGACCTTCAAGTATGTAAATAAAGGAGAAAGAAAGGAGACTTTGGCTGGAAGCTGAGTTGCCAACTTCGCCGAGGCAGAAAGTTGAGTTCAGTCTACAAAAGTATATTTGGCGGTGCGCCGGTGCATGCCAGCCTTAATTACTTTGATAAATGGCATTCCCATGCTCTCTCAAGCCATTTTGGTTCCATGTGTAGTTTGTTAGGAGTATAGTCAATCAATTACAATCAATGTTATATGCAATTAATTTATTCAAGAAACATCACATTAGATTTTTTTTTTTTTTCGATATAATATGAGGTAACACTTTCTTATTTTTTTACTCACCCCACCCATGCACCTGCCTAAAATTTGAATCTAAATTCTCTTACATATAATTTAAAAGAGATATATTACCACTAGACCGTTTATTTCATTAGCCATTAGATAACGATAAAGCATCTTGTGTGCATAATGAAGAATTAAGATTTTTCAACTAATACAACAAAGAGTATTATGAGGTTCTACCATATGGACTATGTTAAGTATCCTTTATATTTGGTGAACTTCTTAGAAATAATAATATTTCAGTAGAGTAATGATAAGCGAATAGTATTTTTGTATAACTTTTATAATGTTATTAAATAAATGAATGTAAATAATTAATATTGTAAGTCTAATATCGTAAAAAGAATCAATTATTAAATGACATAAAAAATTATATATAAAAAATTATCCATCAATTATTTTTCGTTTTAGAATGTATTTCTTTTAAGTTTTCTTGCATTTCCATGATTTTGTTTTCTTAACATGGTATTGCAGTCATATGCTCGTGGTTTCTCTTTTTGCTTGCTCAAATCCTCCTATCCTTTGTGGTTTTATTTTACATCACCCTATAGTTGCTCCCCCTAGAAAACCTCGTCTTTTGTTATTATTATTATTATTTACTATTTTTGCTATTAAGTTGTACAATTAAAAATAATATTTGTTTTTTTAACTCATTTTATGGATGTATCAAATAATTCAAATTCAAAACTATTTACTTCTAATGAAAAAAATTAATATTGAAGCACATTAGCTAATTTATTGCCAACATATTGTCATCAATAGGTTTTGATGCTGTTTATGAACTTTTATTTTTATTTATTTTTCTTTTTTTTTGGTTAATTATATTCTTCCAATTGATTAAAGAGTTCGGAAGTCTTTCCCTTCGTCTACAGGATTCTTTTTCTGGTCAACAAGGAGAGAGGATGTGTATTGTAATTATACATGGTTGCTAAGACACTAAAAATGAAGAGATAGGTGCTCACTTCATGGTTGAGAGAGGACCACCCGAAGATTGTAAAAGGTTCTATTTCCATAATAGTCTTTCATTAGAACTTTTTTAGCTTCTTTTCTCTCCAATACTCATATAAATCGATACCAATATATACTCATGCTACCCACAACTCCAAACTTTAAATTTAAAAAGAATAAATAATCTAATTATTGGTTTTGGACCAACCAATAATTAGAATGACATATATAAAACTAATTAAACCTTCCTTTTAGAAACCGTAAACAACAAAAAAAATGAGAGAGAGAGGACGAGAGAGAGAGAGAGAGGAGGTGACCGATGGACAACAGTAAGAAGGACAACACAGAGCAGAGGGCATGGAAGATTTGTAGGAAAATGGCAATAGAGGAAGTTCACACTGGTGGGACAAAGGAAAGCTCAACTCAACTAGAATTTGTTCCAAAAAGGAAAGATAGGAGACACATATGACTGGGGTCTATACAAACAAGTTGTACCGTACTTCTTTACAAACTTTCCTGATGAATGGACTTATGCAGACATGTGGAACACTTTTCGAAAGTTCGGAAGAGTATACGCCATCTACAGCCCAAACAGGAGAAGCAAGAATGGCAGCAGGTTCAGATTTGTGAGATATCTTGATGTGAAAGACATAAGAGAGTTGGAAAGGAAGCTAGATCAGATATGGGTTGAGGGCAGAAAGCTATGGGTAAATACCCCGAGATATGTCGAGGCAAAGAAGGAGGTGCGAGAACAGAAAACCATTCAAGGATTAGAACTGAAACCACAAAACAGGAGCTATGCTGAAGTGTTGAAGAGTTAACAAGAGAAAGAACAAGATGGGAAGGAAAGAAAGTAACTCGAGGTGAATCAAATGAAAGGACAAAGGAATAACAGAAGCCAAGTCAGATGTGTAAAGGGAAGCATTGGTAGTAGAAAAGTATGGCAAGAAAAGGGAATGAGTGTTAATTGGGCCAGATTCGAATACAATGCTAATCCGGAAGATTATGCATGGCTTGACGTATGTTATGTGGAAACCGTATACTCAGTTGAAATGGTCCGAAATTTGCAGGAAAAATTTTATATGGAATGGTATTTTTTATGCTGAATCCGTGCTATGGGAGGAAAAATGGTGTTGCTTGATTATGATGACAAAGAAGAGCTAAAAGAGCTGGTGGAGATGACATCAGAGTGGTTAAGACAATGGTTTGAAGAGGTGAAGCCATGGTCACCAGAAATGGTTGCGGATGAAAGATTTGTGTGGATTAGATGTCAAGGAGCACCCTTAAATGTTTGGAGGACGGATTTCTTTGCAACTATGGGTTGGTCGTGGGGTAAATTCATCTGCTTGGATGATAGCACAAGCCAAAAAAGAAGATTCGATATAGCTAGATTCTTGATATTGACTCCGATGATGAACACTATCTTCGTTACGAGACAAATTAAAATAAATGGGTCCATGTACAATGTCAAATTCATGAAGGAGTTCACCAATAGCTTCTTCTCCTTAAAACAGGACTTCATGCCAACTTTTCAAAGTGAATCCGAGGAAGAGGAATCATGGTCATCGGACAGTGATAAGGAGGACAATGATTCTGAAAAGATAGTAGAGATTGAGCAAGAGAAAGAAAGAGCCGTTGAGACAGAGAAAGAAGATGATGATGTGGCATATAGCAACAGTGAGGTTGAAGGAAAGCATCTGACACACGATCTGCAGGTTGAAAAAGAGACAACCGAAGTAATGGCGGATAGCTTAGACCATTCAAAATTTGAATGAAGATAAGAATAGCGAAGCGAAGGTAAGGGTATCACAGCAACAGAGGCACATGGAAAAAATTGTGAGCTCAAACGGGTTTGTAGCAGAAGAATCGAGCCTTAAGGAGAAACAAAGGATGAGGTTAAAGGGGAAGCCCAACACATAAGGAGATAGACCAAGTCATGTGGAGTCAACCAATGTAGTAATGGGCCAAAGAATAAGGCGAGTGAGCCCATCTCTTGATAGAACATTGGAGAAGGATAAAAACAAAGGGGCCAAGCCGGTAATTTCCAAAGATGAAGTGGGAGATTCTATCCAGTGGGAACACGAAGATGAAGAAAAGCAAATGCATATTTCGATGCAGAAGGGATCAAAGGGTTTACCACAAAAGAGGAGGAAGAAAATCAGATTGTGTAATGTTGTATACCAAAGGGAGGGGGTTGCTGGTGATGGATTGCAAAGAAAAAAAGGAAGAGCCAAGCAGATCCAGAAAACAGAGAAAAGAAGATTGATACCAGAGTTTTTGGCGAGCCCAAACACTGAGATAGCAGGGGGTTCCATAAGAGACAGTGGAATACAAAATTGCAATAGGGCTTGGAAAAAATAAATGCAAAGCCAGCTAGCCACGGAAATTTGGGATTTAACCAAACAACTAGGAGCTACAGTAGAGAATGATGAGGCGATGGTGCAAAGAATTGAAGAGATAGAGAGTAGAGACAGACAAAAAAAGGAAGATATGGTAAACTGGGAAGCCAAGGACGCAAATAAGGTAAGTATATAACCCAATGATATTGATGTCCTTTAATATCAGAGGGTTAGGAGGGCTGGGGAAAAACAGAAAAATAAGGGAGCTTGTAAATAAAGAGAGGGTAGAATTTTTAGCTATACAGGATTGTAAAAAAAGAAAAAAAGAGTGTTGTGGGAGGAGTTATTTAATCTGATTAATAGAAGGAGAGGAAGATGGTGCTTAGGAGGCGGTTTCAACGCTGTAAGAACGGTAGAGGAGAGGGCGGGGTGCAAGGATCTAACCATGGAGATAAATGAATTTAACAGCTTTATTCATGATGTTGGGTTGATAGATTTACCATTGATAGGAAGAAAGTATACTTGGTATAGCTCCAATGGCTATGAGTAAAATTGATAGATTTCTGATTTTTGCTGAATGGCTTGAGAAATGGAGTGATGTGAAGCAGTGGGGCTTGGGCAGATCAGTGTCAGACCATTGTTCTCTAATACTGAAGAATGAAAAAGTAGACCGGGGGCCAAAACCGTTCAAATTCTTTGACGCGTGGCTGGAGCCAACCCGAGTGTAAGGAGTTGATAAGAAAGGTATGGAACTCTACAGTGGATAATGGGAGAATGGGATTCAGACTAAAGGAGAAATTGAAAGGAACTAAAAATGCCTTGAAGGTGTGAAGTGGTAACTACACGACTGACATAGATAGCAAGATAAAAGAAGCTAAAAAGATGATAGCTACAGTGAATGAGAAAGGTGAAAATGTCCAGCTATTAGAAGAAGACACTAACAAGAGGAAATGATGTTTCCTTGATCGCTGGAAAAAGCTAAGAATTAAAGAGAGCATGTGGCAGCAAAAATCAAGGAAAATGTGGCTAAAAGAAGGGGATGAAAACACAAAATTTTACCACAATTGGTGAAGGGCAGATGAAGAAGAAATGAGATAAACAACATCCAAATTAATGGAAAGCAGCTTCGAGAGGTGGCTGAGTTAAAAGAAGGGGTGGCAAAATACTTTCAAGAACTGTTCATAAAAGACAAATGGCAAAGACTAAAGTTGGATGGCATCAACTTCAAAAAATTATCCCAAACAGACAATGAACTCCTTATGGCTAAATTCTCAGAGGAAGAAGTAAAAAACGCAGTGTGGGATTGTGAGCCAACAAAGTCCCCAAGGCCTGACAAGTTCAATTTTAAGTTCATTAAGACCATGTGGGAGGACATAAAACATGATATTATTGACTTCACTCAGGAATTTCATGAACATGGCAAGCTGGTAAGAGGATCAAATGCATCCTTCATAGTCTGAATCCCAAAGGTTGAAAACCCCCAAAGAATTGAAAAATACAGACCCATTTCGCTCATCGGAGTTATGTACAAGATTCTAGCAAAGCTATTAGCTAACCGCCTCAAGAAAGTACTGGATAAGATCATCAGAGAGCAACATATGGCATTCATAAAGGGCAGACAGATGTTGGACGGGGTGATGATTGCAAATGAGGTGATCGATGAGGCAAAGAGGAAGAAGATGAAAAGCTTCCTACTCAAAGTGGACTTCGAAAAATCTTATGACAAGGTCTGTTGGGACTTTATTGATTACATGTTATTGAGAATAGGGTTTACTGCCACATGGAGAAATTGGATAAAGGAATGTCTGCAATCGAGTACAGTATCAATTCTCATCAACGGAAGTCCAATAAAACAGTTCCTAGTTAGCAAAGGGATAAGACAAGGTGACCCAATATCCCCTTTTTTGTTCTTAATAGTGGCGGAGGGACTAAATGGACTATTGTTATCTATAGTGGATTAGAAACTGTACAAGGGAGTGAGGATAGGTAACAGAGATGTAATGGTATCCCACCTCCAATTTGCAGACGACATAATATTTTTTTAGCAAAGCATTAGAAGAAAACATTCAACTCATCAGATGCATTCTGAGGACCTTCAAGTTAGTTTCGAGACTGAAGATAAACTTCAAAAAAAGTCAGCTAATGGGTGTTGGGGTTGAGGAAGATTGGAAAAAGAAAATGGCATACAATCTTCACTATAAAAAAGGTGAGCTTCCTTTCAAGTGCTTGGGAATTCCAATCGGTGGGAATCATAGAAAGTTAGCAATGTGGCAAGCACTGGTGAATTCTTTCAAAAAGAATCTAGTAAGTTGGAAGGATCGGAATTTATCGCTGGGAGGTCGGATCACGCTCATAAATTCTGTATTGTCCAACTTACCTATGTTCTTGATGTTAGCCTACCTACTCCCCAAAGGTATACTTTACTCTTTAGATAAAATTTGTAGAAATTTTTTTATGGGGAGGGGAGGGTGAGGGGAAATAAACCAATTGGGTTAGTTGGGAGAGGGTATGTAAACTAAAGGAGGAGGGAGGATTGGGTGTAAGAGACCTGAGAAAATTTAGCAATGTGGCAAGCACTGGTGAATTCTTTCAAAAAGAAGCTAGTAAGTTGGAAGGATCGGAATATATCGCTTGGAGGTTGGATCACACTCATAAATTCTGTATTGTCCAACCTACCTATGTTCTTGATGTCATCCTACCTACTCCCCAAAGGTATACTCTACTCTTTAGATAAAATTCATAGAAATTTTTTATGGGGAAGGGAGGGTGAGGGGAAAAAAACCAATTGGGTTAGTTGGGAGAGGGTATGTAAACTAAAGGAGGAGGGAGGATTGGGTGTAAGAGACCTGAGAAAATTTAATGTCGCATTGATGGAAAAATGGTTGGGTCGGTTAGCAAATATGGAAGAGGGCTTGTGGAAGAGTGTTATTGTAGGAAAACATGGATTACAAGGGGGGCACTGGCTGGACTGGTTGCGTGATGGCAGGAACATAGGATCGTTATGGTGGAAAGATGTCCGAAGTCTCAAAGCTGGGGAGGGGGTGAATGCGAGATGGTTGTGGGAGGATTTTAGGTTGGAGATAAGAGAAGGGAAATGGGTTAGCTTCTAATGGGATGTGTGGTGTGGGGAGGAGTGTCTAACTAACAAATTTCCCATATTGTACTCATTGTCAACAGGGAAGGAAAAAGAATGTCATGAAATGGGTAATTTTGATCAAGGCACATGGAAATGGAACTTGACATGGAAAAGAAACCAGTTCGAGTGGGAAGACAAAGTAGCTAGAGAACTGAAAAGGATGACCAAAGATGTGAAGATCACACTAGGCCGCTCAAACAGATATGAATGGATCCACAACAAGGGTGGCCAATACTCAACAAAGATAGCCTATCAAATGTTATCAACACAAAGGAGGGAACCAGAGGAAGCTAAAATATTTAAAAGAGTTTGGAATCCCATGGTCCCAAGTAAAGTTGTTGCGTTTAACTGGAAAGCGCTACAGGACAGAATCCCCGCTAAGCTAAACCTGATCAAAAGAGGAACTATCAAAGACATGGCAGAAGAGAAGTGTGTTTTGTGTGAGGAAAAGAATGAAGATTCTATCCATTTGTTCTTAAACTGCAGAATAGTTAGATGACTGTGGCAGACATGTGCAAACTAGTGGGGAATAACTCTCACACTACACAGAGATTGCTGGACAACATTTCAGCATTTTGGGGCATGGACTACAAAATTACGTATCTCAAAAGGGTGGGACTGTATCTGGAATGCAGTTACATGGACTGGATGGATGGCACGAAATGGAAAGGTTTTTCATGACTCGAAGGTAAACCCAAGCAAACTTTTTGAGCTTATTCAATTGAGATCATTTGCATGGATCAAAGCAAGGAAAGCTAGGTGTTATTTCACTCTTTCAGATTGGTTGATTGATCCTACCTCTTGCCTCTTAATTAATTGTAGAGGAAAGTAGATTACAATAGGAAAGGTTCGAAATATAGGATTAACATTGAAGGGCTTGTTTTTTGTATTTGTATTAAGGGTTTGAGTACCCCTTGTACTCAGTTCATCAATGAACTATCCATTTGCT